TTGCTCTGATGGCCTTAAACATGTTTCCTTGTGCACACGTTCAAAAGTTTCTCTTGGGTACAAGAAGTCACAGGCCTAGCAAGGGCGTCCCCCCTCACTGTAGTACAGCCGTCCCCTCTCTGAGCCTCAGTTTCTCCATCTAAAACAGCGATGACAGGATTCCTTCTGCACCTACATGCAGGCCTGAGAAGGGGTTAAAAGGAGTACCCAAGTGCACCTGCGCATCCTGGTGAAGGTCTGGTGCCAGGAAAGGGAGGCGTGGTAGGGGCTGCAGGCCCGAGGGAGGGCTGTGGCTCCTCTCCCACCTGAGTGGCAGGCAGCTGTTCCAACAAAGTACGTCCCGCTCTCTGCTGTCCATAGGGCCAGAGCTGTCCAGGTCTGCCTGAGGCCTGGGTGGCCCAGGCCTGGCAGAAAGAGGGGAGAGAAGGAATCCTCACTCTGCTCTTCTGGGCGTATCCCTCTCCTGTAAGCAGCCCTTCGCTTCGCTGCTGCCTCTGTGCCCTGTGTTTATGGTCACGATCATCAGCACACAGTCGTCATTCTGAGCTGCAGGCCTCAAACTAGGCTTTAATTTCCTGAGAAAGACCAGGCTGGCCATTGAGGGCTCTGCACTTTGCCCCCCAGAGAAGGCTGTGGGGCCACTCCAGGCATCACCCTGAGCTGATTGGCTTAAAACTGTGAACCTCCCATGGCTGTGATTTAATAAACTTGGTTGCTTTCTTTCCCCCGGCAAAACTCCGTTAATCCTCAGGCTAACAGACAGCAGATTAGAAAGGAGGAGATGAGAGCTTCTGGAGCAGACAGATGTGAAAGAGAGCAGACCCAGGAACTGGAATGAGCAGGGAGAGGTGGGAGAAATGCCCGCAGGGTAGGGCAGAGGCAGCAGGTACAGGCCACCGCTTCTGGGGCAGGTTCGGTAGCACTTTCTGGACGGCCCTAGGGGACAGATCTCGAGGGTACTTCTCCCATGCCCCCCACTATGTGCTTGATAAGAGAAGGGTAACTAATGCATTTTAGAAAATGGTCTACCTATAAAAATGACTAAAATGAACACAGGGGATTAAAAGAATAAATTTCCATTATCTGGAAGAGTTTTGTGTAAAATTTAATTTCCTGAGACCACAGGATAATTGAGGCGGTCTCAACACGATCAGTGACAATTTGACCTTGATGGCCTGAAACCTAAAGCTTTTTTATGTGATATGATTGGATTCTCCTAACAGGCTAGGGTTCCCATTTGAAGGGTGTGTCAACAAAAGCCCAGAGAGGTTGAGTGATTTTCCAAATGTCACACAGCACTGGGGTTATAATCACCACTGCCTTGCAATCTAGTGGGTCAGGGGCATTCCCTGTCACTGCCTTTGGGGACCCCCTTCCTTCCCACTGTACATAGGCAGTCAAGCAGGTACATTGAGGACACACACACATACATTCCTCATTGAGCCCTAATCATGATGTTTCCCAGCGGAGAGCAGTCTGTAATGTTGCTGCTATTGGCATCTTTTACAGCCAACCTAGGTTCAGAGGAGCTCAGGAAGCACAGCTTATTCTGAACCCCCAGTATAGGTTAGCTGCCTCAGGGTTCAGAACGGTAATAACTAGCCTTTAGACTATGGACTGTAGCCTCCCACCCCCCAGGCACCAGTCTCCACCCTGGGGTAGCCAGGATGCCAGGGCAAGCTGCATAAGCCATGGGCTTTGACCACAGTCCACACCGGGGATGACCGGCTCTGTCCTGGGCACCTCCAGCCACAACACCAGTGTGTTCTGATGGGCACATTTTCCTCTCCCCTGGATGGAGCTGGACAGGTTGAGGCTGGAGCAGGAACATGGAGGGGCAGCTTCACCTCTCGTGGGGCTCCCTTCCAGGAAGGGGGTCACTCCTTCACCCACGCAGCCCGAGGAGCTGCCTCCTGTTCCCTCTGAGTACCCAGAGGGCCAAGGGCACACTCCCCTCCAGGTTCCCGCCCACCCCAGAAACTTCTTGACACATTCATTTAAGAAAATGGAAACTTACTTCCTCCAAATCAAATAAAAACGAAGAGGTGGGGAGAAGCTGAAAGGCATCCTTCCAGGGCCTGAGAGCCCGAATATCCAGCGACAACAAGCACGGCGGGCCTGGCACAGTCCGCACACTGCACGTGCTTGGTGCTCGGCAGCAGCTGTGACCACGATGCTCAGGTGTCCCGGACGCCTCCCAGAGCCACCCCCGTCCCTGACGCAGTCCAGGTCCCACTCCCCTGACCTTCGTCTGCTCCCACTGTTTCCCTTGTGCTGCCTAGGATTCTAGTCTGCCTTCTGTTGGCTGTCCCGTGGTGTCGCTCCTCCCTGTCAGCTACTGCCTGCCTTTGGGGTGCTTTCTCCCTCAGACCAGGCAGGGCTTGGAAGGAGAGGGGCAAGTTCAGTGTTTTCTGATGTGTGTGTCGAGTGCTGCAGGATGCCTGGAGCCCCAGCGTGCAGATGGGGCTTTGTGGCTGTCACCTCCTCTGGGAAACCTCCCCGGCCCCTGGCTCAGTTGGGGCCCCCACAGGCTCCCACGTGCCCTGCACTGACAGTGTTCAGACCTAGTGGCTCCCCAAGCCTTCCCCTCTCTCCTGCCTCAGACTGAAGCTGTTTTCTGTTCTCTGCTAAGTGCCCAGCACCATGTCCAAGCGGGACTGTGCTCATGAAATATTTGTTCAGGGGACAAAGGAGCATGAGCAGAAATGCTGAGAGGTGATGTCACATGCCCCACGGGCCTCTGACTGCCAAGTTCCGTGCCCTTCCGGGGCCTGGCATCCCCTCTCCCGAGATGAGGGGGCTGCCTTGTCTAGCCCTTTCTCCACCCACAGGGCAGGAAGAGCCTTGAGCAGGAGGCAGGGCAGATGCCCGAGGCGGGCTCTCAGACTCCACAGAGACCTCCGGCAGCCTCGGTTTGTTGGGCTCAAATCTGAGTGCTGTCCACTTCCTTTCGATGCAGCAGGCTTTGTGGAGAACCGCCTGTAAGTCCAGCCCCGTCCTGGGCTCACAAGGAGACACACCTGGAACTATGAGCTGATAAAGCAAGAAATAAAAGAAAAGATTAACTTTTTCTTTTTTATAGACGGGGTGACGGAGGCTTCGGGAGGCCCAGGGTTTGTGGTGGAGTGAAAGAGCGGAGCTTCGGGTCAGACAGAGAGAGCATTGGTGACACTCGGCAGCTGTGGGAACTTGGGCAAGTTCCTTAAGCTCTCTGAGCTTGTGTGTCCTCGGCTGTGGTGAGCAGGGGCCGTGACAGGGTCTGGGAATGCTGCCAGCCACAAGTCTGGCAGCATTGGTGGGACCCAGCCCCCTTTCCCGGCCCTCTGCAGCGCTGCGCTGCCTGGGCGGAATCTTGGCACCAAGGACTGCTGGCTGGCAAGGAATAGGTGCAGAGGTCTGCCGCCTTCCTGAAGGCTCTAGGTGATCCTTGGGCCCAGGACCCTGTCACAGTTGTCTTCCCAGGACCTGGGGAAGGATCAGGTCGATTCTTGCCATGCCTGGGGTCCTAGAGACCCTCCAAAAGGGCCATGTTGGGGCCTGTGAGAAAGAGGTTTCTGGGTGCCGAGTTTGGGGTCTCGGGGCAGCTGAGAAGAGCCATCATTCCCAAGATGGGGACACAGGCAGAGGATGTTAACCGGGATGCCCAAGGTTTGTGGTGTCTCGGGCACCCAGACGGCTAAAAGGAGACAGGCAGGAATTCACAGAGAGAGGCTCCAGTCAGGAGTGTGGCTGGAACAGGCCCAGACAGGAGCCTCGGGAGACGCAGCACTGGGCACAGGGGCCACAGGCAGTGTGGGAAGCTCTCTGCCGAGTGGGGCAGCCCCCGGTCGCGGGGGGTGTGACGTGCAGGCCGGGCAGCAGACGCTGAGAGATAGAGCCACTGCCGGGGAGGCAGTTCCCAGGTCCGCCTTCCAAATGGAACTGGTTCCTGTGCGATTTTCCAGGTTCCACCAGGAGTTGTTTTTCCCTGCAGACCCATTCCGTCTGTTCTGTCCCTTATCTCCCAGGCCCTGGCTCCCTGCCTGTGTCCAGCTCCACCCACCCACTGCCACCCCTGCCTCAGAAGTCCATGGTTACTGTGTGATGGTGCTAAGTGCCCTTTCTGGAACCCCAGTTCCCTCCCCAACCCAGGCCACAAGCCAGCAGGCTGCTCTGTCCCCAACCCTCTTCATGCCATCCCCTCCCCTGGCCTCTCATACACTCCACATTCCCCAGCCCAGCCCAGGCTCTATCTCCCGGGCTCCCCTGACCTCAGCTGCTCCTCTAGGCCAAGGAGAAGGGTTCAGGGAGCACAGGGTCCAAGCACCAGGGCCCAGGGAGAGTTGCCCTGCTCAGGGGAAGTAATCAGCACCAGTGCCCAGAACACTCTGTCTTTCTATCACAGGCCTGGGGCTCTTGGTGTGTGAGGCAGCCAGGGTGGGTGCCTGTTAGCCCAGCTCAGTCACACTGGCACCTGCTTCATCACAGCTACCTCCCCTAGCACCACCCTGTGCTTCAGCCACAACCAGTGTACTGTGTCCAATCACCCTTTGGCACCATGCACAGGCCAGGCCTTCTGCCTGGGTGTCTTTCCCCACCCCACTGCATCTATCACAAGCCCTTTACTAGCCCTCTGAGAGAAAGAGACACCCCCTAAACATGTCGCTCTCCCATGGAGCTTCTCCAGACTTGCACAGATGGGGGTGAGCACCACAATTCATGCCCCGAGTCTCTCGTAGGCGTCTCTTCTGGGTGGGTGCTGTGACTGTGTGCCGCCCCCTGGGCTTGAGTTCCTCAGAGGAGGGGCCCTGCCTCCCACTCTTCAGGGTGCTCCGTGCCTGACATGGCCTGTGTTAGGGCAGCTGTTCAAGGAATGTGGGGTAGATGGGGCAGAAGCGGGCTGCAGGGGCGTGAGCGGGGCCTGGAGACACTGCTGCAGCAGGTGAGGGTCAGGGGAGAAGGAACAGGTCTGGTGGCCAAGCCCATGCCAACCCTCACACCCCCTTGCCTTCCTCTTGTAGATGAAGATGATGCCAACAGACTCGGGGAGAAGGTGATCCTCCGGGAGCAGGTGAAGGAGCTCTTCAATGAGAAATACGGTCAGTTCCCCGGGGAGGGGCTGTGGGGCTAGTCTTCCTGGGTGGCCCCTCCTCCCTCTGCATCCCTTCTGGCCTCTGTTGCCCCCACGTGGCCCGCCAGCTCCCTGGGGACATAGTTGCTCTGCTTGTGACTAATGGGAGCTGTCCTCCTTGCCCTGTCTGAGAAGGGGGAAAGCACGCCAGGCTGTGGTGCTCAGGGCAGCAGCAGTGGTCAGCATTTCTGCTCCTCTAGGGCTGCGCTGTGTTGCAGAGGTCATGGCCCACGGCCAAGTACTCGCTCTGCACACGCCCATCTGCCCAACCAGCACTTAGCTCTGAGGACAACAGAAGGGGTCTGCTCCAGCCGCTGGGGTCTTGGTCTGCGGAGGGTGTCGGACGTGGAACAGACGAGAGCCAGGAGATGTTGAGCCCTGTGCCGAAGGCACCTAGGGCAGAGCCCGGGATGAGACGTCTGGGAGTGCAGTTCCAAATGATACAGCCCTTCCTAGACTGCTGAGGGCCCAGCTGTGCCAAGTGCTCTGCATACATCATATTGTATTTGTGATGAATTTAGTGTTGTCTCCATTTTGCATTGTAGCAGAGGAGACATAGCAATGAACTTTTTACCAAGAAGAACTTCAGAGAGTGAGAAAGGAAAAGAAGAAAACCCATAGTGTGACCAAGATGCAGGAGAGAGTGCAGGAGGTGGAGGGCCAGGGCCTCTCTGGACCGGTGAACAGGAAAGCGCCTCAGAGAGGGGGCATTTTAGCCTAGGCTTTAATAATATCAAGAGGGGACAGACATTCGAGGAAAAGCCAGGCAGGGGGAGCCACTCTGCGACTGGGGACCTGTGAGAAGGCCAGCACAAGCAGATGGGGAGGCTTCAGTTGGGCGGAGAGGTGGGCAGGCCTGACTTGAGTTAGGGTTTCGCTCTGACTGTGCATGGGAAGCCTCTGCTGGTGGTTTGTGCTGTGGTCTTCTTCACTTTTCGTTTTGGAACCAGTGTTCAGACATAACACAGAAGCACAGAGAGTGACATGACGCCCACGCTGTGCCCCAGCCCAGCTTCCGTGATCGCCAACATTAGGCCATTGTGACTCTATCTGTTTCCACACAGTACTTCAGTATTTTCAGTACTTTAAATCGAAGACATCATATCATTGCATCCATAATACTTAAGCACTTAATTTTTTCTAACATAAAGGTAGTGGATTTTAGGCAGATGTCAAGTCCCCATTTCAGTTCTAGGTGTGCACATTTAACACATCGTCACAAAAGTGACAGGAACTGTTTCATTATCAGCATCGGGTATTAGATTTTTACTTTTGCTAATTGAACTTTTAAAATGGTGTGTGTGGTGGCCCTGGCCGGTGTGGCCCAGTAGATGGGAATGGTGTCCCATGGACTGGAATCACTGGTTCGATTCCCCGTCTAAGCGTGTGCCAGGGGCGGCTGACCAGTATTTCTCTCTCTCCGCCCCTTCCCTCCCCCTAAGATCAGTGAGCATGTCCTCGGGTGAGCATAAAGAAAAAAATAGCGTGTGTGTGTGTTGACTTTGATACTCTCCCTGGGTTGTGATGGCCGCTGTGCTGTGCTCTGCCAGGCTCCAGCCCTTTCCCAGAGGCTTGGCCTTTAACAGCAGACATCTTCTGCTTCCCCGGGCCCCCGTGCCCTCCAGGTGAGGCCCTGGGCCTGAACCGGCCAGTGCTGCTCCCTTACAAACTGATCTGGGACAGCCCAGATGCCGTCAAGGTCATGGACCTGCCTGATGACATCCCTTTCCGGAACCCCAACACGTACGACATCCACCAGCTAGAGAAGATCCTGAAGGCCCGGGAGCATGTCCGGATGGTCATCATCAACCAGCTGCAGTGAGTGCCCCCGGCACCTGGGGCGGGGTGGGAAGAGCGGGCAAGGGCTGTGGGAGAGGGTGCTGTGTGGCCCCGGAAGGAGAATCCCTATGGCAGGCCCAGCCGAGAGCGGGGGGACACGGGGAGTGAGAGACCTGTTGTGCACTTGCACTGAATCCGGGAGATGGGCTAGCTGAAGGCTCGCATCGTAAGGACAAGAACCTGATAGCCAGGTGGAGGAGACGGATGGTGGACGTCACAGTGGGGCAGCTCGGCCCCAGACCCAGTCTCTCCCACTGTTCAGGCTGCGAGGACACAATGCCGTCAACCAGACGGCAGCGCACAAATGTGTTTCTCACAGTTCTGGAGGCTGGGAAGTTGCCGGCAGGTTCAGTGTCTGCTGAGGGCCCACCTTCTGGTTTACAGATGGCCACCTCCTCCCTGTGTCGTCACATGGTCAGAGGGACAAGGGAGCTTTCTGGGGTCTCCTTTGTAAGGTGTCAATCCCACTCATGACAGTTCCACCCTTGTGACCTAATCATCCCCAGAGGCCCTGCCTCCTCATACTGTCCCCTCGGAGACTAGGTTCAACATAGGAATTTGGGGCAGAGGGAGGGACACAAACATTTAGTCTGTATCACCCAGTGTCCTGGTGAGTCCTCAGCTTTCATGGTGTTTACTTTTACAATTTCAATTAAATTTGACTTTCTGGCTGTGTCATTCATTTTTACCCTTTTTGATGGTATTTGGAAAATACCAGCCCTTGAATACTCCCATCGCCCAGAAATAACAACTGTCCATATTTTATCTTTATTTATTTTTGTCCATATTTTACTGTATATCCTTACAGTCTTTAAAAAACAAATAGAATAGTTTATTTATTTTCAGATTGAAAAACAAACTAGGGAAAACCAAAAAGGCAGAAGAAGAGAAGGTAGCCCATAATTCTCCTTTGCAGAGTCAGCATTATGGTGTATTTCTTCCACAGTTTTCCCTACGTGTATTTTCTTCTTAATCTTACACTAGGTGTTTTGAAGTGAAAATAATATTTGCATGTGTACAAATAATCAAACCACTCAGAAAGGTCTCACATGAAGAGCAGAGGTTCCCTTGCCCCTTCCACGCCCGGAAGTAGCAACTGGAAAACACAGGAGACGCAGGAGGAAGTGCCCGCCCCACAAGCAGCCCCCGGAGAAACCAGCCACAGACCTCCTAGGGCGTCCCTTCCTCCATTCCACTCTTCTTCTTATGCCTCTTAGACGCGCTCTTGGAGAAAATGAAACTGAAGTCCTACAGTATTTGCCCACAGACTAAATAAAACATGATGTGTCTCCTGTCTGGCTGTTTTGATTGCACTTTGAGCATCATTTGTATCCGTCATAACTCCCTTTAAAGACAGTACAGATGGACCATGTTGTCTCTATAACAGACAACATTGGGTTGTGTCTATTTTTTTTTTTGGTTCATATAAAAAATGCTGCAAGTAAAATAACCAATAAAATAAAAAAAGGAAAACTTTGTTGCCCTGACCGGCATGCCTCAGTTGCTTAGGCATCACCCCACAGAGAGACAGGTCACCAGTTCCATTCCCAGTCAGGGCATGTGCCTGGGTGGCAGGTCTGGTCCCCAATTGATGTTTCTCTCCCTGTTTCTCCCTCCCTTCCCCTCTCTCTAAGAATAAATTAATAAAATCTTTTTTAAAAAACACTTGTAAAAAAAATGTCACGATGAATATCCATTCACAAATCTAGGCACTCATTTCTGATCACTTGGTCAGACCACAGGCTCACTTTGGAGACGAGGGAAGAAGCCCCAGAGGGCGATTTGCCTGGCACGGCTCTCACCAGGGCCAGGCGGGCCGCCATCGGCCTGTCTGCTCTGGGGAGAGGGGGTCTGCTGACCGTTTTCATCCAGGTCTTACTTGGCTAACTTAGATGTCCATGTTCAGGGAGCAGGTGAGAACGAAGAGAAATCCTCATTTTCTAACTGCAACCTCATTTCTTTTTCAGACCTTTTGCAGAAATCTGCAATGACGCCATGGTGCCAGGTAAATCAGAGGCTGAAGAAGCCACACTTCTGCCTCTCAGGGACCAATCTGCGGACATTCAACAGGTGTCAGGCAACAGGTGGCTGGCCACCCAGAGAAGAGTAGATCCCTCCCACCAAGTACCTCTCCAGGGAACCTAAGATTTCCATCTACAGAGCCAGTATTCCCAGAGGGCCCCAGGAACCCTGTGGGTGCCCTTTGGAGGGGCGGGGGCATGCCCCAGCACAGCTGAGCGTGTCAGATCAGCTAGAGAGAGGATGAGGGACAGGCTAGAGCCAGGGGGAGGGGATGTGAGGTAGGCTCACAGAAGCCACCTGAGGCGAGAATAGGTGACATGTGACTGGCAAGGGCAAGGTAGGCAGGCCCGTGTGCCTCCTGAGACTGGCTGGGCCCCCTGGATTCTGCCTGCATTTGCCCCAGCCCCTGGGCCTTCAGAACCTTTCAGGTCCTGGGAGACTGTCTGATTGAGAAGGTGTGGGATAGGACTCCAGAGGATGTTCCCCTGGGCGACTGGGAGGTGCGCCCTCGTTGTATAGCTGGGCAGCTGAACCCCACAGACGCGGAGGGACTTGCCAAGGCCACATAGGGAGGTGGTGGCCACTTGCACTCCTGTGACCAGACTGTCCATCTATACCACAGGCCACTGGGGACTGTAGACGCTGGAGTGGCTGCTCAGTGGGAACGGTAGTGGGGTTCAGGAACACCACCCCACCCCAGCCTAAAGCCTGAGGTCCCAACTCCAGACAGGTCCGGCTTCGCCTGAGTCTCCAGTGCCTGGGGTGCACAGCCCAACCAGAGACCACCTCCTCCTACCACGTGCAAATCGAGGGGGCCGGGCTGGGCACCAGGCACTCGGGTTAAGGAGGTGACTAGGTTGGGAGCTGCTTCCAGATCAAAGGCAGAGATGCAGAAAGCCCTGAGGAGGCCTCAGACAGGAGGAGAATTTGGGACTGATTATCAGATTAAATGCAATCACATCCACCACTCCCCACCGTGGTTGTCTTTAAGGTCTTATGGGGGACCCAGACAGGCCACAGCCCTGGACCAGCCCCTCTTGCATCTTTAAGGTCGCCTAGGTACCTGCAGACGGAAAGATTCTAAAAGCCTATAGTCTGGTGCAGGCACGCACCCTGCCAACACAGGCACAATCCAGGGGCCCAGCCAGTCGCCAGCAGCTCCCTCCTGCCCCCCACAAAATTCCCTCCTCCTCAGCTCATAGCCTGGGCTCCCCCTGCCTCCAGAGTCTTCTCCTTCCCGGGGTCGCTGTTTATATCACATTGCAGACCCCCAGGTTCTGGTGTTTCCCCACCAGCTGGACAGACAGTTGCCCCTGAGCCAGCCTGCCCTCGCACCGTGGCGTGAAGACCCTGCTGGTGGCCTGGGCGAGGTTTCTGCTCAGCAGCCCGTTCCCCGGTCAGGCCCCAGGCCCCACTTATGTAGCACACCATTGCAGATCTTATTTCTAAGTCTTACCTGTTCACATGAATTCAACTCAGCAGCAACAAAACCCCTGCTGAGGCCTGCTCTGTGCCACACTTGGTGCTGGGCTCTTTCGCACCCACAGTCCCTTTGAGCCGCCCATCACTCAGTTTTCCCGCTTCGGCTCCCAGAGCTTTGTTGGTTTCCTGGGGCCATGCAGCTAGTAAATGGCAGCAGTGAAATTTGAACTGAGGGTTTTTGTCTCCAAAGTGGAGTTTCTTTTACCTTGGGACACTGCCTGGTCTACTCGAGTGTACCTGTGAATGTCATCTGTCACAGCATGGGTCAGGTTAAGGTCGTCATGCATCTGCAGTAACAGTAGCAATGATATGGATACCAGTTCTCAGTTTCCGAGTATTCACTGGGGGCTGGGCACATTATCTCATGGGACCCTCCCAGCAACCCTGCAGAATCTTACTGGCATTTTACTGGCGAGGAAAGGAAAGGAAGCCAGATCTGTGCCGTCTGTGTAGCTGTGGAGGCGGTGCTCTTCACCGTGGGATTCTGGCCCCAGGGGGGATTCTGGGAGTTCTGGGGAGGCCTAGCTGGGGGTGAGGCGATAGTGGTAGCAAAGGCAGACAGGTGAGCAGAAGCAGGAGGTGGACGAATGAGCTATGGGGCCTGGTTAGAGAAGGAGGCTGGAGAGATGGGCCTCAGCTGGTGGGTTGGGAGCCTTGACTGGTGAGAAGGGGACTTTAAACCTGAAAGCAAAGGTCCTCTCCAGGGGTGTCTGGAAGGCTGAGACAATGGCCTCGGCATCCGGTGTCAGCAACCGTTTCTCCCACCAGCCAAAGACAGCAGCATCCCCAAGCGCAAGAGAAAGCGTGTCTCCGAAGGAAACTCGGTCTCCTCTTCCTCCTCGTCTTCCTCTTCCTCATCCTCCAACCCAGAGTCCATGGCCTCCACCAACCAGATCTCACTCGTGGTAAAGTTGCACAGATCTGGACCTGACCACTCTTCTTTCTGGCCTTCGCCCTGCACTCGGGCAGGGCTGCCTACTATGGGGGGTATAGGTTTGGGGGTCGGGGAGGCACTGGGCTCTGAGTGGGCTCCACAGCCCCTGGTTGCAGACACAACTGCCTGATCTACCCACAAGGTAATCCGCCCTCGCATCAGGGCTTCACAGATGCCTGGACAGAAAGTCCCATCCCCACTGGGCAGGCGGGCAGACGTCCCAAAGTTGAGAAGGGCAAGGGACCTGCCCACTCTCCTGGGCAGTGTCAGAGCAGGACGCCAGGTTTCCAAGGTGGTCAGATGCGAGGCTAATCTCTGTGCTCACATCTCACACAGCACCCCACATGGCCCTGGGATGTGTGGGTGCTACCCGCAGAGTGGAGGTGAGGAAAACGAAAGTGGGAGGCTGACTGACTCTGGCCTCACTACAGTCCGTGGTGGGTGGAGAACCCATCTGCGAGGCTCCGCCTGTTCTGTGATGTGGCTGGGTTCGCTCCTTTCCACACAAGAGGAAAACCTCATTAGGGGCATACATTTGAGAGTTCTTTCTGATTTCAAAATACCAGCTTTGAAATCCTGAGTCCAAATGGGGAGAATATTGGAACGCATTCGGGGAAACATTTTTTTGAGCCATAATTGACATACATTATATTAGTTTCAGGTAAACAATATAATGATTCAGTATTTGTATATATTGCAAAGTGATCACCACAATAAGTAATTAACATGCATAGCTATCGAAATTTTTTTTTCTTGTAGGTTTCAGCATTTCTTTATCCTTTGACCACAGTTCCCTTTAACCCCTTCCTGGAAAAAAGTGCAGGCTTTGCATCTCTCCCTGCCTGGCTGTATGAGTGCCCACAGAGGGTGACTGGCTCCAGCCCCAGAGAAACATGACAGCTTCTTAGAGCATGAGACCTAGAGGGGGCTGAGTTTATGGGAGTGACCACCTGTTCTGAGCCAATTCCCCTGTTCCCTGTGGCCCTCACGTCTGCTCCACGTGATTAGCCCCCGGACACAGGTGAGAACAGGTCAGAAGGCTCCCGCCCCGGCTCCATGGCTACTGCATGATCTCGGGCAGGTCACGTCCCCTCTCTGGGCCTTTAGCAGCCTCAAAATAAAGAGTGTCTGAGGAAGCCCTTCAGAAAGCAGAGCTAAGTGTTCTGGTGTTCTTTCTACGTGACCTGGAGTCCTAACTGGGACCCTTTGTCGCCCTCTCTCTAGCAATGGCCAATGTACATGGTGGACTATGCCGGCCTGAACGTGCAGCTGCCGGGACCTCTGAATTACTAGACCTCAGTGCTGAATCAGGACCTCATTCAGAAAGACTAAAGGAAATGTAATTTATGTACAAAGTGTATATTCGGATATGTATTGATGCCTTTTAGTTTTTCCAATGATTTTTACACTATATTCCTGCCACCAAGGCCTTTTTTAAATAAGTTAAAAAAAAAGCATTGCCTCTGCTCTTAACTGTTGCGGCGTCTTCTCTTTTGGAATTGCGACTGCAGGTGTCCCTCGGACGAGGTCAGGAGACCCACCTCAGGTGGCCTGCCAAAGCCCTTTCCTTGCCAAAGCAGTGGTGGTGTCCTTGACCACTGGGCCCTGATGTCTGGGTACAGACTCTGCTCATTTCTCTGCTGCTGGGTCCATGGGACATGAGGAAGGGGGCCCCAGAAGGCCAAGTGCCAGACTGGCCCCCCAAGTGCATCCTGAGGTAGGAGGCTGTCTTGGCCCCAGTAACTCAGGTGAAGTCAAGCTTATCAAGTGTGGGATCTCCATGGCTGGAGCGAAGGTGTCTTGGAGAGGGGGCTTTGGGTTGGACCTGGAGGGTAGGGTGGATTTTTGATGGAGCTCAGGGTGTTTGAGCAGCAGAGTGATGGGGTCATAATTATGTCTCAGAAAGGCCACTTAGGTGGCAAGGTAAGACTACAGGTAGAAACACAAGTCACTGGCACACTGGTGGGGTGATAGGCATGCCAGCCAAGGATCCTGATGAGGAAGGGCAGAGTGCTCTGAGATGGCAAGGCAGGGTGACCTCATCTAGCACAGAATCAGGAAACCATTCTTGAAGTGGAGTTGGTGGGACCAAGTGGGGAGGGTTGGGGCAGATGGTGCTCTAGGTGGCGAGAGCCACGCGTGCAAAGGCAGGGTCGTTGGACAGACAACCTGGGCATTCCAGGAAGAGGAAGGAGTTGCCGGAGCAGAGGGCTTGAGGAGAATGGCTGGAGGGAGATGGAGGGGTAGGTGGGGGCAGTGAGCAGGCTGTTAACATGCTGCTGCGCTGAAGGAGTGAGTGAGGGCAGAAGTGCAGGCTGGGTTCTGCTTGCCCAGCTCTGTTCTCTGGGGCCAGGATTCACCCTTTTCCTCACAGACTTATGGGAGTGTGGGGGGGAGTGGGGAGAGCCATGACCAGAACCACATTTTGGAAGGGTCTGCCCTCCTGCAGCGAGGAAGTAGCCGTGGTGAGAGAAGCTGGAAGACCACGTGGGAGGCTCTTCCAGTTCCAGCAAGAACTGGCAGTGGTTTGGGCCAGTGGAGGAGAGTAACAAGGTCAGCCAACAGAACTTAAGGGTCAATTGGTCTGGAGTGCTGGGGCTCAGAGGGGTCGGGGTGACCATAGGATCCTGCCAAGTTTCAGCAAGAGGCTTCAGACTTGGAGGAACCGAGTTCTGAGTGAGCTAAGTACATGATCCAAACAGTCCAGTAGCTTCTGCGAGCCCTCTGGGTCACCTCTGTGCCCAGAGCTTGCGGGGAAGGCTTCCCAGCCTTCTAGACTCCACTTCCTCCTGGAAAGATGATGGAAAAGCCAGAAACCACAAGCTTGGCCCACCCCACCCAAACTGTTCCTCCCTGGGCTGGAGCCACCACCTCCCTCCCACGTCCCAGTGGCCCAGTGCTTCCCCAGGGCGCTGGGCTCCATCCTCTGGTCCCTGCCCTGGGCCAGGTCTCTCTCGAGGTCAGGGCAACATCAACTCTACACTGACCACCACCCTCAGGGCAGACACTGCCCGGGAAAACAAGGCCAATCTAGCTGCTGACAGAGTGCCTTCAGCCCCTCTCTCCTGGAACCCATCTTTCACCGGTCTAACACTGTATCTCCCTGAATTAAAAACCTCCGTGGGTTTCTAATACCCCACAGCACTGAGTACAAACTTCTAACCCTGGTGACCCAGGCTCCTCCCCGTCTGTCCCCCACCCTGCCTCTTATCCCCTGGTTCCGTCCCCTTTCTTCACGGCAGCCCCCACCCCGCAGTGAGCGGCTGCAGCCTGGGCTTCGGCCTCACAACAGCGCTTGGGCCCACCTGACGCCCTCACAACGCTCCCCGCGCGGGGCTGGCGCCTCTCGGTTGTCTAGACCAGCCCCGCCGCCTCTGCCCAGCAGCTCTGATCTGCGGCCAGAGAGACGGAAGTGGCTCCCGGGGGTGGGGGTGCGGGTAGTGCCTGGTGGGGCTGTACCCAGCCCCCGCTCCCCCCTCCCTGCCACCCCCCTCGCCCCCCCGCGGCTGCGCGGAGAGGTGAGGACCCCGGGGTAAGAGCCAGGGACCCGGGTCCAGTAGTGCTGAGGTCTGCAGACACTCAGCCATGTGTCTCCTTTCACTCTCACAATGGACGTGTGCAAATTAAGTGAGTTGGTGTGGCAAACCTTCTCACCCCAGTGCCCGGCCACATTCGCTCAAATTAAAAGGGGATGCTCCCACCCCAGTAAAGCTCTTGAACGCAGAGGTGGCCTGTGTTAGTGTCCCCTCCTGTCCCGGGAGTTCTGGGTTTTGTGAGGTGTGTCCTGGCAGAGGGCAGAGGATAGAGGACGAGCTTGGGGCCCATGGCCGCCTGCCTTCTTGCTTTGCCCAGCCCCGATCGCATGGAGCCGGCTTCCCGAGTCTTTCCTCGCAAGCACTCCCTGCTTTCCGCGGAGCAGCCCAGATGCTGTTTATGCAGCCTCTCCAGGCTCGCAGTGTACTGTACTTTTTAAAGTGATTTGATTCAAAGCACTCTTTCTTTAATTAAACTTCATTTATCTGCCATCTGTCTGGGTTCAAAATGGCTTCGTGTTTTGCAACTCTAAATGAGAATTGTTACTGGATTTGTAAACATATCCACAAAAAAATCACAAAACACTTTCAAAAGTAATAGATGAGGAATGTGCAGAAGGAGTGTCAGGAGCTGCATCTTAAACATTCTGATTGCCGGGAATGTATTCTGGTGGGTACGTAATCATTTTATATACAAATCTTTGTATAAAAAATCTGGTATCAAAGAAAAGATCGAGATTATAGAAAATGCCAGAATTAAATGTGACTGAAAACAGTAATAAAGCAATAATCAGCACAGGGACAAAGCTAGGGTGAGGCACGTGGGGAGGGGAGGGCTGGGGAGACAATGGAGGGACAGCAGCTCTCACTGCACCTGCTGCTGTGCCGAAGGCTGCCTCACTGCCCAGGTGCTTACCTTCTGCATAAAAAATAGAGGTGGTTGGTCCTGAGCCCCAGTAGCAGGGGGTTCACAACAACTCTGATTTCTTTATGTATTTTTATTTTTTAAGATTTTATTTCTTTCTTTTTAGACAGAGGGGAAGGGAAGGAGAAAGAGAGGGAGAGAAATATCAGTGTGTGGTTGCCTCTCCCACGCCACCTGCTGGGGACCCACCCACAACCCAAGCATGTGCCCTGAGTGGGAATCGAACTGATGACCCTTTGGTTCACAGGCCAGTGCTCAATCCACTGAGACACACCAGGCAGGACTACTTTTATTATTTTTTTATACTTTTGTCAAGAAAATGTGTTGCCCTAACTGGTGTGATTCAGTGGGTTGGGTGTTGTCCCGCAGACCAAAAGGCAAGAGCTTGTTCAACTCCTAGTCAGAGCACATGCCTGGGTTTCTGGCCAGGTCCCCAGTTGGGGATGTGCTAAAGGCAAACAATCGATGATTCTCTCTCACATCAATGTTTCTCTCCCTCTCTTTTTCCCTCCTTTCTCCTCTCTCTAAAAATAAATAAATATCCCCCACACACACAAAATCACCAAAGTTTTATTAATGATGGTCTACTGCCCCCATTGTGCAGGGTCCTCTTCCTCCCACCTGGCCCAGGCAAGAAAAGAGAAAGAAAAGATGGGAAGGAATGATAGCCCGTCTTTTAAGCCTCATGTGGTGGTTCAATTAAAGGTGAATTCTTTTTGGGAAAATGACATGAAGTGTTTTTCAGTGGAGAAACTGAGGCACAAAGACAGTGAAGGAGTAGGACTGGAGGTTACTGGCCTCTGGGCAGGCAGCTCTTAGGACACCAGCACCACTCTTGTTGGCAACATTCTGGGTAATCGAGGTTCAAGGATACAGAAGTGGAAATTGCAAAATGGAGGTGTGGATCAAAACAGGACCCTAACAGCCCTGGCAGGTGTGGCTCAGCTGGTGGGAGCACCGTCCTGTAACCAAAGGGTTGCAAGTTTGATTCCAGGTCGGGATGCATGCTGGGTTGTGTGCTGGTTCCCAGTTCAGGCACATATGGTCCGAGGCCCCGGCATGTGTGGGAAGCAACCAATCCAAGTTTCTCTCCTATCAGTGTTTTTCTCCCTCCCTTCCTCTCTCTCTAAAGCAATGAAAGAATATCTTCTGGTAAAGAGTAAAAAACAGGACTGAACAACCCCAGGACTCCACACGACTCAGCCTGTGCCCCATGCTTCTCGGCTCTCATTTCCTGGGCCCTCTCCGCAGCACTGCCTCTCTGTCACATGAGGCTGGGGATCCTTCATCCACTTCCTCAAAACGGCCTCCCCTTCCCAACTCCTGTGGCACCTCCTTCCTGTCTCACCTTTCACTGAAGTGTCCCTGAATGTCCTCTCCTCGAAGAGGCCTTTCCAGAACACCCAGTCTAAAGCGGATACCTCAACCTCATCATTTTTCAGTTTCATTTCCTTTTTAAAATATGATGTTATTACTACCATGTGTAATACTGTCTTTTCTGTGCAGCTATTTTCTGGCTGTCTGCCTTGCTTTATTTAGCTTTGTGATGGCAGGCACAGCGTTCATCGGCTTGCTGTTATAACCTAACCACCTACCACAGACACGGGACATGGGAGCTGCTCACAAAATGTGAGCCACGTGGATGCGTGAATCAACCACACCTGTGTCCACAGGGAAAGCCAAATGAGTGCTCCTTAGTTCTAAATCCCTCCACAAGGATTCTAGAAACCTTGCCCCTCCTCCAGCCCCCAGGATCCATGCATAAGGAAACCATGACAGGTGCCTCTGCCTATCCTTCCACCATTGAAGCTTACTTTCTTTACTGCTGGTTTAGTGTTCGGACTCCAGAAGTCCTTGATTTCAACACCAGTGTCCCTGAGACAGCCCACCTAATGAGACAGGATAGTAAGAAGCTAGGAGAGTTCCTTGGCAAGTGGAATAGGGGCACTGAGACAGCTGAACACAA